CATCGAATATGTGCTTAGAGGTTGCAGTACATACAATACCAATTGTTAGGTCTCATGTTTATAATAAGCTTATTATCTAATCTAGTTTTAATGATTAACAAACAATTCCTAACAATGTTGTTGAGTGTTTGTATTTGCTTGATTAGGTATTCTACACAAAGATCCTCCTGTTGGAGGTTGGATGGAATTGTGCTTCAACAATAATATTCAAAGGAGGTTGGCGGAATCGAAATGAATCCATTTGTGCATTCAAGTCAAAGATTCTCTATTGCGCTTCATCCTACCAAGTCGAGCTTATTGAAGATCTATAGCTTGATATAGTGTTTTGTTAGTCTAAGTGTGTTTACTTTATGTGTTATACTTAAAAGTTCAAACTACACACATACACGTTTCGTTTTATCGTATTATACGTTTTTAGAAAAATAACGTATTTACGTATTAAAGACTTGATTACACTATTTTATATCTTTCCTCAAGTCTATTAATCTATTTTAAAGTGTTTTAAAACTTATTTGAAGAAATTTCATCAAAATCAAGTTTTAACGTTTTCGCATTTTTTGAACGGCTTGAAAAATAAATGAGATTTCACAAATGGGAAATACGATTTGAGAATTTATTTTTCTAACATTTTCTATTTCATGTTTAAATTTTTTTTTCCAAAATATTAGTAATGAAGGCCCAATGAAGCAGGAACTCGGAAATTCTTCACCTTATATGCCGAAGTGGAAACACCAAAACTTAGCAGCTTATCTTTAGGCGGCCTTCCTACTTTTTTCCGTCTTACAGGTGGGGGGCTGGAGAACGGATTTCCGTTATTCCTAATGCGGGAGGAAGACGTCGGTGTCCTAGTCTGGAGACGCTGAGCAAAAGGAATGTGATCTCCTAAATCAGCATGACTCCTAGGCAGCAAAAGGACATCTTTCATGATTCGCTTCAGGTGCTTCTTTTTGGAGTTGATTTGCTATGTTAAATTGATTTTACAAAATCGTTCAGCAGTTTTCAGAATCTAGATATCTATTTTAAAACAGTAATTTCTCACAAATTCGAAGTGATATTTCAGAAATTCTCTATCTAACATATTTATCTAGAAATTTTCCTTAAATTTTCACGATTTTTGGAGTTGATTTGCTATTTTCAATTGATTTTAGAAAGTCAGCTACGCAAAATTTTAGAATCTATCAACTGTTTCCAATGGTCATATTATCAGTCGACCGACTTTACTGATCAGTCGACTGATCGGATATTTTTAGCAGTAACGGTTAGTTTTATAAGCTGAGTTTTTGGGGCTATAAATACCCCTCTTGCCTTGGATCTTTTCAAGGGGTTTTAATAAGGTTTTGGGTTGTACATTGCTAAGTTTTCAAGAGAGTTTAAGTGTGTTTAATGTGAAAAAAGTTTCACAAAAGAAGGAGATCGATTTCAGTTGTAGACATTCATCTTCAAACCCTCATCTCTCTTTGTTTTAGAGAAGTTTTACTAAACTCATCTTCTAGCTATTTATTATTTTTTATTCTTACATTCTTATGCTAGATTGATTTGAGTTTAATTCTTGTTTTTGCTCATTGATTGCACACCCACCCACTTAAGCTTTAGTATTTTACACATTGTATATTTAGGTTGTGATTGGGTTATTGAGAGTGAGCTTACACTTAGTTCTCATCATTGTATTAGAGAGCAAACAAATTTATTTGTGCTTTATTGTTGAGAGAACACATTGTAATACACAAGGACATATAGAGAAGTGGTTAGTGAGAGACGTGGTCAATTCCAAGAGGAGTGGCGTCGGTTGTAAATCCTAGGGAGAGGTAGTAATTCCGAGCACTTGAGGAAGGTGACATGGGCTAGGCGAACACTTATAAAAGTTTATTGTGTATTGATAAATGTGTGATTTGTAAACATTATCGGTGATCGTTGAAAACCGATTATGTAGTTATTTGTGTTGAGATAATGGAGATTCTCCTCGAAGGTGGGGAGCGGAGACGTAGGACGAGGGTGACCGAACTCCGTGATCATTTTCCTTGTGTTTGTGTTTGTCATTTGTGCACTATCTCTCTTGTTCTTGTGTTCATGTTTATTTCACCTATTGTTTTATTGTATATCCTTGCATATTTCACTACATATTAATCATTATGATATATTAGTTAATAAGTTTTAAATTTGACATTAATATTAGATTAGATTAGCAATTATCCTATTCACCCCCCCTCTAGGGTACTTTCACCAATGAGGTGGACAAAAGGGTAGATCAGTGCAAATGGGAATCTTCAAACAGAACATATGTAGATGCTTGAGAATCCATGAGGGATTTTATGAAATAATGATTAATGTCGTGAGAAACCCTTTGTTTAATTGATTAATGAGGGACTTAGTGTGCATGAACATGACTTCAATCAAAATGTAATTTATAAGTGTGCTATTCATAGCATGACTACCCCCTCGACATTGATATCCCGGTGTGAGGTTTTTCCTTGAGTATTATGATTATTATTATAGCATCAACTAGACAGTGCACCTATCTTGATTAGACATATTCTAGACCATGGTTATCTTTCATAGTTTTACGGAAGTAGTTCTACAGTAACTTTGTGGTTACTGCATAACAGTTTATGCATACTCTCTTAAAACGAACAGATAAATACGGGGTTAATAAAGGGGAATTGGACGGAGAATATGAAGTGTATATAAGAGGATTTATGTGCATGTCTGATATCCTGAGCTATATATATAAGGGCCAAAGGCTAATATTTGACTTGAAGCTGTGTTCCCAAGACGGTTTACGGGAAAACCGACTTATATACATGAAAATATTTTTCTCTAATACAAATAACATATAATAAAACATAAAGTGCTTGGTTGACATATAATAGTGTTTTTCTTGGTATCTACAGTTAATATCTTTAATTTGGTCATCTTCAATTTAGTTTTATCTTTTCTTTTATATCCATCACATACACCTACACACATGCACATTTTCTTTATTTTGCATGCTTGTTGCAATGTTTCCAGACTCCCATGGGATATGCGCACCCCAGACTCGGGGACTACTCTTTGCAAGATCAAAAGTATGTTAAGGCGCATGCAGACCCAGCGGTAGTGATCGTCATCCTATCTTATTTCAGTTCTTTAGCTTTAGTTGTTTAGGTGGTTTATTTGTTTTAGACTTTTCTTGGAGCCACTTGTATCCATTTATGATGCATTTCTTACTCTTTTCTATTATGGATAGATGCAGTTGAACTCTTCCTTTTTGGAGATCTTTCTTTTTGTGAGTATATATTTCTTTTGCTATCTTAGTTACACGCTCGGTTGTGTGCGTGCGTGTGTGTGTGCGCGTCCGTGTATAGGATGATCTAAAGATGTGTATGTGACCACAAGGTTGTATTGTCGGTCAAGTCACGTTCCAATTTATACAATTTGGAATTTGGGGCATGACACCATCCAAACATTGGAAAAGTAAGTAACACCAATTTCTATGTTTTCTTTCTTACTTTTGGGTTGCCAACCAAACAATGGATTGTAGTGGAAATGAGTTACCACCCCAATTTTTATGGCGAAACCAAACATCGAAATTCCATTAAAAAACCATCAAAATTGATTTTCCATGAAAACACATGAAATATTTGGTAGAAGGTTTTTAATATTAAAATCTATTTCCTATAAATTATGCAACCAACCAAACATAGCCTTAGAGTTTATGCCAGATTTCAGGCTGAAGGATCATGTCATATAAATACTTTTTCTTTTCTCAACTAATTTAAGGTCTTCCTCAGTATCTTGCATCTCATTCATCTCTCATCACCTTTAGTTGCATACTTGCCTCACAACACACACATACATACATATACATCAACTTGGATCCTCTCCAATTAAGTTGTAATTGGAAAGAGTCCAGTTCTTATCATCTATATAACTTTCAATGGATGAGATCATGTCATGTAAGGTAATTTCATCATTAATCATGTAAGGTTTTCATCATTATCTTGAAATCACTATGATTTTAAAAACCATTATAAACTTGAAAATCACTATAGTCAAAAACATTACTCGTGATTCTGAATTTCAATGGAGTGTTCCTTTGCAAATTACTAGATAAAATTTATTAATGGTTGCATTCAACTAGTGAGCATGCAATCCCCTTCATCTTAGACTACATTTGGCATTCAGATCGTAGCATTACAAAATAATTTTTTTGTAGAGTGCATTATACTCTTCAAAGTATTATGTTTAGTAAATAGAATTTTAAATATTTTGTGTTTTGTAATTTCAATATGCAGTAACAGGGTAGTCTTGTTGGAGAACAAGTGGTGATGCCCTTTTATCATGGTAAGTTTCCATTCAACTTGATCTCAATTTTATCTACAAGCTAAGTTCATATGCAGTAATATAGGGACAAAGAATAATGCTCTACACACAAATTCATGATGAGTATGATTTTAAATTATTGATACATTGATCTACAAAGATTCGGACTATTGTATTCTGCCACCATCATGCCATTGAAGGGTAATAGAAAGCTCACTGCCAATCACAAATAAACAGAGAAATAGAGAAGAAATTGAATTGTTCTATAAATCATTGGTCAAATTCTCACTAGATAACTGGGGGTTATAACTCTTACGAGCCATGCCTTTGAATTTAGTCTTACGAACCATGCCTTTGAATTCAGTTTGTTGTTGTCTCATTACACAAGTCGGCAGCAATTACCAAATTTTTGATACACTAAAGCCAAGTGCAGGGCATACATAGCATGTTTTATGAATGTAAAACCAACTCAGTTATGAAGAAGATATTGCGTAATACTGATGATTCACAGATCGAGGATGTAACATCATGTTCAACTGAAGAGGCTTAAAACATAGGTCAAAAAGATTCTGTTAATGTTCCAGTGCCTGACAAAACATGAAATACTACAGCTGACAACCATTAAAGCCATTGTGGAAGCTTGCCGAAGAGATGGCAAACTTACGCAAATGAAAATAAACATTAGAAAACGAAACAGAGTCTTTAATCAAAGAATGACTGGAAACCTGGAAAATGCAACTACATGAAGTCTTATAATAAAGTGAATGTACTTGAATAACATTAAAAAAAAAGGATGGTAGAAACATATATGCCCACACGTGTTAAACACAAATATGTTCCATGGGCAGCTAGAAACCTTTTGTTTAACTCATTTATTTCTGCAACATCTAAGTTGTCACAAAAGAGATCGGCGGAAATCACAGTATCAAAAACTTCATCCTTTAAGAACTAACTCCTTAAATTGCCTAATGCACTTCAGCGCCTTTTCAAATTCAGCAGAGTCGAGAGCTATGGTGAAGCGACAGTAGTCAGGTATTCCAGTCCATGATTCACTGTTGATGCACAATCCAGTGGTCCTGAAAATAGCTTCTCTAATGGTCGATGAACTGAGCTTGGTTTCATAGGCTTCTATTTTTAATCTTTTCCCGAGATAGGCTGATGGTCTTGCCACCATGGAACTGCCACCATGGCACTCAATTACGTCCCAACCACAGCTCTTCAGTGTCTGCAATAAATAATCTAAAGTTGATGACTACCATTTCTAAAAATATGCAAACGTAAGTTTAAGGAACAAGTTCAGTCTGGAATATGAGCAAAAATTTATAAATCCAAGACTCATTCGACAGTTAGGAACAAGTTCTTAGTAGCACAAAAATAAAATGTTCAGTGATCTAACCGGATGCAATAAGACTTTCTCAACAAAGAGGTAAAGGAGGGTTGGTGCATGACGATCTTTGCTCATTGATCAGAGAAGATTTTAGGATTTACTAGAATCTTTTTTATTTTAATAATATTTGTTTAATCTCCATTATTAGGTAACATTTCCTTCGGATTTGATTTATGATTTTTCGGATGTCCGAGATTTTATTTTTGTTTCCCTTTTATTAGAATTGATTTGTTTTCTAGATTTAGTTTTCACTAAATATAAAGTTGTAATCCTCTACGAGGAATGGACATAGATTAATAAAATTGAGTTATAAGAATTCTCTCTTGAGCAAACCTAATATCCATTAAAACCAAGGTTGCATAGGTACGAGTAGTCGAGTATAGGTGCGGGTGCAGGTATGGATACGGGTAGGGGACACAACAAATTTGTAAAAGTTAGGGTCCGGGGACATGT